TCAGCAAAAATCGGCTCCATCCCTGGCTGGAAACGGTCTTTTTGACTCTGAAAGCCTTCACCTTTATACGGGAGCTGACTCGACTGCCGCCTATCTTCATGCGTATTACGATGGCATGCATTCCAGCAAAGATGCTCAAGCATCAGCGGGCAGCTGTCGCTTTTGGTGCCAAGGCTGCGAAAAGGCGAATGGGTCTCGGTACCGAGCGGCCGGATTTCATGTCGTACATTCTTCGCCAGACGGGCGAACAACGGTACCTCGCTACCATGAGCTCATTGCATTCCCAGCCGTTTTGCTGACACGCGGATTCCTTAGCATGACGGAACCAGAGATTGAAGCAGCGGCAATCACATTCATCGTTGCGGGCAGCGAGACCAGTAAGTCTGCAGTACCGTCCTGTCTCCTGTACTTCCTCAGCACTCGTCGGCTGATCCTACCTGAGCGGCCACTATGCTTTCTGGCACCGTCTATCTCCTGTGCCAAAACCGACCTGTCATCGAAAGGTTGACGTCTCTTGTTCGGACCGACTTTCCCAACGAGTCTGACCTCACCTTGGTCAAGCTCCAGCAACACGAATACCTCAATGCCGTTCTTCAAGAGGGGCTGCGCCTCTATCCGCCTGCGCCTGACAACCTCTTCCGAGTGACTCCAAAAACCGGAGGATATGTGATGGGTCATTGGCTACCCCCAAAGACTAGCTTGACTGTGAACCTTTGGGCGGCCAACCGGTCGGCGGAAAACTTTCATCGCCCCCTTGAATTTATCCCGGAAAGGTGGGTGAAAGATGCCCCAGTTGAGTTCCAGCAGGATGATAGGAACGCTATGAGACCGTTCAGCGTGGGACCTAGGGACTGTTTGGGGAAGAAGTAAGCTGCGATCCCACAAAGTCGCCTGAACTCATTCTGTGCCTCGCATATCTAACCATTTCGACAGCCTTGCATGGGCGGAGATGCGCATGATTCTGGCTTATTTGGTTTGGAACTTCGATCTCGAACTCCAATCGGATAGCCAAGATTGGATTGAAAGACAGAAGGTGTTCATGCTTTGGGAAAAGCCAGACCTGAACGTGAAGATTTCCCGGGGACATTGACGAGAACATAGATCGGAGCATGTCTAGACAGTACTTGATGAGAACAATGAGCACTTTCTTTGGAAATAATCCTGGGCAAGGTCGCTACCAATACACAACCCAGCAAATTTCATGAGTTCTACAGCTTGATGTTGAATCGATGAACGTGACAGCAAACAGCTCCCCTCCTCAAAAATACCAACGCATGGGTGTCTCGATCTGCTACCCAACAGCAGAGGTTTTCCGATAGATAATAGGGGCACCCGTGGGATGGCTGAATTGGGTTTCGTTCCAGGAGAAACTTAGTGTAGCACCAACTGTCCAATGTATGATTTGCTCGGGACCATGAACTCATCCGAGCACAGTAAGGTAAGAACCCGGCCGAGCGGTCCGATGCTAGCGATGGCAACCTCCCGGATGAGATTCCAGCCAGTGATTCATATCCACAGCACGATGCTTGCTTAGACACCAAAAGATTCGCCGAATCTCACACCGGCCGGATGCCGTGATTCCCCATGAAGTTGTAGGTAGTCACACGCTCACAAACTTCGCTTCCGGTTGGTGTTGAAGGTGACCCGGTCATCCCCGGAGGACGAAATTGCTACCATTCCCCCACCCCGGTCAGCCGGTACCCCCGCAAAGTGCCTGCTGATAGACGTCATGTTCCTGGCAATATTCCCGGACGCGCTCCCCGTCCCCCTCATCCTGCCCATTTCTCCTCACGATGTGGAGGCCCTGCGGAGGAACTCCGCACTTCGAACCTATCAATCATCTTACCTGCGCAACGTAGGATGAGATTCCTGAAGTAAAGTTTGCAAGTCTTGATGTTCTGGAAGAAAAAGTCCTTGGCTCGGCCGAGAAACGCACTGATTCGATCGTCGCACCAGCGGTGAGCCGGCTACTCCTCGGGGATTTATATAAGTCCGTGTTGTTACATAACGTATTAAACGGGGCTTCAGTGACCATACATAGATACATAGGTACTCACAGCCATCGTGGCCGCCGCCTTGTCTCACCACCCGACTTTTCGAGAGTGAACCCGTTCGGAATGTGGTCAACAGGAAGCTTGGCTGCTCTTGCGCAGCTTCTCGCGCTTTCGACAGGCGTCGCAGCCGTCGCGCAGTCGCCGGAGGTTTACCCGTCGCGTAAGTCTCGTTGCCCGTCCAACACCCCTGTGCGCGTCAACAAATCAACAACTGACGTAATTGCGAAATAGCATCTGGGAAGGGATCAGGTGTCTGGAAAGATGCGTACGCCAGCGCGCGCAAATTAGTAGACCAATTGACTCTGGAGGAGAAGGTCAATATTACCCGTGGGTTTGCGAGCGACAATGTTTGTGCTGGCAATACCGGGTCAATCCCGCGGCTGGGGTGGCCTGGGATGTGCCTTCATGACGCAGGCAATGGCGTGAGAGCGACCGACCTGGTCAACTCGTATCCTTCAGCTTTGCACATCGGCGCCACTTGGGACAAGAACCTAACCTATCATCGTGGGTATTGGATGGGAAAGGAGTTCAAAGCCAAGGGAGGTGAGTGCAAAGGAGCTGACAACCTCCATCTTGAGCACGTAACTGACGCCCTTGCTTAGTAAATGTTCTACTTGGACCTAATGCAGGTCCTCTTGGAAGATCACCTCTTGGTGGCAGAAACTGGGGTAAGAAATTCGTACCGCGACTCCCGAATCCGGACACTGAAATCGTGCATAGAGGGTTTCTCGGTTGATCCGTACTTGTCGGGACAGCTCAACGCGGAGACCATCATTGGTCACCAAGATGCCGGTGTCATTGCCAACCTTAAGGTGCTTTTTCTACGCTCAAACTGCGACAAAAAACCTGTTACTGACCTTGCTCGATAGCACTTCATCGGAAACGAGCAAGAAACCTACAGAAGGCCATACTTTGGCGTCGAAGCCGCATCGTCCAACATCGACGACAAGACCCTGCATGAGTTCTACCTCTGGCCTTTTGTCGATGGCGTCAAGGCCGGTGCTGCATCCATCATGTGCTCCTACAACAGGATTAACAACACCTATGGCTGCGAAAACAGCAAACTCATGAATGGTGTCCTCAAGGGCGAGCTTGAGTTTGACGGCTTTGTCCTCCTGGATTGGAATGCGCAGCACAACTTTCAGAGTGCCAATTCTGGTCTGGACATGGTCATGCCTCTTGGAGGCAGTTTTGGCCAGAACTTGACTGATGCTGTCAACAACGGTACTGTCGCCGAGTCTCGAGTGACGGATATGGCTACAAGGTAATTCATCCCAATTCAAACAATCCAAGAGACGTCATTAACCTCTTCCAGAATTCTTGCGGCCTGGTACCTTGTTGGCCAGGACTCAGACTTCCCCACTCCCGGGATTGGTATGAAGAATCTCACAGAGCCTCATGAGCAAGTCGATGCTCGCGACCCAGACTCGAGGTCAAACATTCTCGAGGGCGCAATTGCCGGACACGTCCTCGTGAAGAATGAGAACAATGCCCTTCCCTTCGCTAAAGCACCCAACATGATCTCGGTCTTTGGGTATGATGCCACGGTACCCGACACGAAGAACACTGACAAGCTGTTTGAGCTTGGCTACTACTCCTCTCCAGAGATGGGCCAGGCCGTGCTAGGCACGGAAAGACACTTCGACCAAGCGGCCAAGGGAGGAACCATCGTCAGTGGAGGCCGCGCTGCCGCCAACGCGCCGTCTTATATCCTCGATGTAAGTCAAAGCCCGTTGTCCATTTCTAGATTTGACTAACCCATTGCAGCCCCTCAGCTCCATCCAGCACAGAGCAGCCAAAGACGGTAGCTGGGTAAACTGGGACCTTACATCTCCCAATCCCGACGTCAACGCCGCCAGCGACGTCTGCCTCGTCTTCATCAACGCCATGGCAACGGAAGGCTGGGACCGCGACGGCCTCCACGACGACTTCAGTGACGGTCTCGTCCTCAGCGTTGCCTCCAAATGCACCAACACCATCGTCATCATCCACGCCGCCGGCATCCGCCTCGTCGACCAGTGGATCGACCACCCCAACGTCACCGCCACCGTCATCGCCCACCTTCCTGGCCAAGACAGCGGCGAAGCGCTTGTCCAGCTCCTCTACGGCGAGGCCTCCTTCTCCGGAAAGCTCCCCTACACTCTCGCCAAGAACGAGAGCGACTACTCTGTCTACAAGCCCTGCGGGCGCGGTGAGACGAACACGACGAGTCCGCAGTGCGACTTCACCGAGGGCGTTTACATTGACTACCGCGACTTCGATGCTAAGAACGTCACTCCGAGATACGAGTTTGGGTATGGGCTGAGTTACACCAGCTTCGAGTACTCGTCAATTTCAATCAAGAAGCAGGATACGCAGGCAGGCTTTGCGGCGAACTCTGATGCCTTATGGTCTACCGTCGCAACCATCCACGCCACGCTGAACAACACGGGGTCCCGCGCGGGAGAGGAAGTCGCGCAGCTATATGTTGCCATTCCGAACAGTCCGCCGAAGCAGCTTCGTGGTTTTGAGAAGGTGGCACTTGAGAGTGGACAGGGTGCGGACCTGCAGTTCGAGTTGACAAGGCGGGATCTGAGTGTGTGGGATGTCGTGGCTCAGAAATGGACTCTTCAGGAGGGCGATTATACCGTGTTTGTAGGCGCGAGCAGCCGAGACTTGCCTCTGTCGCAGGTCCTTTCGATCTGAGCCCGAGCATCTTCAGTTGAGGACTTTCCTTACCTCTTGAATTCTTAATACTAAGTCTGATGATGAACTTATGGTCAAGTTATTTCGTTCTCCGTGAAGCTGAGTACATAGATGTATACACATCTGCCCAATCAGACACTTCAAAGAGATAAAATACGGGGGAAGCGACTTCTCTGCTTTATCCGTGTACAAACCTTTGGAGAGCCCTGCTTCCCCTGAGACATCATCGTATGCACTAGAGAAGTTCAAAAATCAAAAACAAGGTCCATCCAGGATTCGAACCTGGGCTTACGGAAGGTTCTGAGATCATCAGAATCCGACGTCCTAACCAACTAGACTAATAGACCAATTGAGTTGATCCAGCAGTGATGGGCTGGTGTGAGTGCTTCCGCAGAAAATGTGGAATATGTTGCGTGGGTTTAGCCCTCGTGGACCTCAAGTGGGGGCAAGTTTGACCAGGACCAGGATTGGCACAACACAAGCCCAGCGCCATCAACAGATTCAGTTCCCTGGTGAGATCTTCAATCTTTAAATTTGACTATTGATTGCGAGCCCCGTGGCTTCCAAAGGAACGTTGCCATGAACCTGCCCCATTGTATCAATACCCGAACCGCTCCAGGCACTCAATCAACTCCCTCTCACCAGCAGCCCGCATCTCCACAATCTGCTCCGCCGTTTTTCTCTTTAACATGACTGGGTGATATAGCGCGAATGGAGCAAGAAGGCTCTCCAGCTTTCGAAGTTGTTCGAGCGCAGCCATGCCAGCAATTTCACTTGGTCTCAGCGCCCGTCTCTCAGCCAATGCATCATCCCATGCCTTTGCTCTCGCAAGTTGCCCGACCGCCTCTCCTGGCAGATCGGGGATGTCGAAGTTGCCCGCCAGCATTGCTTTGGCAATTTTGCCATCGCTCAAGTCGGGGTCCCGTGCAGTGCCGCCGTTCGTGCTGCCTCCAATGTCTCCGAAGGATGTGAAGAACTCGTGAGCGGGATGAGAGACGTAAGCCCAGTCAAAATCAAGAACCCCCGTGATGTTTTTTGTTTCAGGATCGTATTGAATGTTGTTGGTAGCTGATGTTCATGTTAACAAGCACATCTAGGGAGAGCAAGAGTCCCCCCTGACTTACTAAGGTCGCCGTGGATCAGCACGCGTTGCGTCTCATCGACAACAGCTCCAGCAAGATACTGGTCAAGTCCACCCAGAATGAACTTGTCGATACGTTCGCGAACACCGTTCGGCTTCCAACCTTGCAAATTCGAACTCCCATCCGCATCGCGCAGGCCAAATTCCAACTTGGACTTCCAAAAGTCGGTGTACGAATTCCATGGAGCCCCTTCAAGAATCGTCATCTTGCCAGCCGCGATGTTTCCAAACTCATCGATGGTCAATCCGCCATGCGACTTGATGCTCTCTGGCAACGGCGCTCGCTGAATACCCGTGAAGACATCTGCAATCTGACCAAGTACAGTCTTCTTCTCATCATCTGGCAGGTCTTTGAACTTGGTGTCGAGGGGCACGCCCTTCTTGAACTCCATCAAAGTCCAACTGTACCCGCCGCCGACGTCTTGAGCCGACTTCCATGCAAAGATGGCCGGGATGAGCCCGGCGGCATCAGGTTTGAAAGCTTGGAGGCCCTGGCGAGCGATGTACATCGCTGCGACCTCGTTCTCGACTCGATTATCCTGGATGATGTCCATGGCCTTGGGGTTGGCTAGCCGCATGACGATGGTTGAGATGCCTCCCCCTGGCGGAAGCGTGGTGTACGAGCCAGCATGAAGGAAATTGTCCTTGGTGGCTGGCTTGGCCAAAGTGATTTTGTAGATGAAGTTGTTGTAAGGGAATGGGACGTCCTCTTGGTATTCCACAGGTGTGATCTCGGTGGGCTGTATTTGGTATCAGTAAAGTGGGCTTTGAGAGTAGGTTAGTAGTTGTTCTTACCTCGAGACCGAACCCAATCAAGGTGTTCCTGGCGAAGTCAAGACGCTCTTGGAATTGTTCGTGATTCATGATGGGCAGAGACGACTTGTCAAAAATATCGTATATTGTTGTCGTTGAAGTAAGAGTGCGGGGTTTCGTGGTGAATGGATCTGAGGATTGTTTTGAATATGCCACAAGTGTGTTGTTATTGACCCTAGAGAGATTTCCTTCGGCCACACTCTAGGTAGCTCTTACCAGACTAGTAACCAATCGAATTTGTACCTTCCCTTACAATATCTAGTTGAGTCAGAACACCAATTCGGAAGGTGAATCCCAGAAGACTGCTCTACCTCTCAATTGGGATGTTGCGTGTTCACGATGTTGAAGTATGTGATTTTAAAGTTGAAGCGAATCGGATCCCATCCGGTTTCTCCGGTGCCAATCAACAGCACGCTTTTTGGCTGAGCCAAGGCTTTTCTGGTCGTTGACTGATGCCATTGTCAGCTGTGATCCTTGCCAAAAGCCCGTTGCTGCCTAGAAATACTATTACAAACCACACATAAATCAGCCATTTCTGCCTAAACTGTGCCGCACAGATGCATATCGTCTTCGGATTTCACCAAGACATTCACGTAGTTGAGCTTTGTGAATTACCGTTATTGGCTGTGTGACGTCTGTATTGCAGCATTATCTTGTGATCACTATCTTGTCGTGCTCTTTTCTCACATCAAACCACCATTTAATCATCTATCGCAGTATTACGGATATGCTTTCCCGTATGCCATTGATTCAAGATTCCCTCAACTTGCTGCAAGCGGATTGACAGAATGAGATTCTTGCCATTATTGGTACGGGTAGGGCCTCGAAGACTCTTGATACTTGCAATTCCTGCCTATGGATGCCTCGATGAACCACATGTCTTGGGTTGTAACCTCAATTATGGCTGGAGTTTTCAGGGATACCTCTGATCAAGCTTCGACCCTCGTCAACTCATTTCTCCGCAGATACGAATTCAATAAGGAATCAAGAGTGTTTAGATGTGCAAGTGGAACAACACATTTTTGTTCGCAAAAGTTTTGGCCGATTGTATCCTGAAGACGGAAATAAAGAGGAACAATTGGCAATCAGTGAGATTCCATAATTTCCGCGAAGTCGCCAATCTCACTGTCCGGGGTATGAGTGGGCACTATCCCGGCGGCTCTTGTTCACCAACACGACGCGCCGGTCCTTTAAACCTTTAAAGAGCCCTAGAACTTGCGATCGTCGTGATTAATAAACAACTCTGCATCTCGAAGTGTTCAAGTAATTGCCTTTTCCAAAACGCAACATTCGCAGTTTCCCGTGGTTTGGCCGCAATCGCTCAGTGGCCACCGGCAATAACGGCAGATACACGAGATACGGTGCGGGTCGCTGACGGCGGATATTGGCCGCGCTAGACGGCAATAGGAAGCTCAGTAGCATCGATTCATGAATGCTGATCCCCCCCACGTGCCCGGGCAATCTCATTCTCTGGATGATAGCCAATGCGACTTCGGCCGCCACATGGATGAGCGTTTATCGGCTCGCCGCGTCAGCGCGGAATGATGCGTGCAAAGATACCGGCGGGCGGCGGTCGCCAAGAAAAGCTTGTTTGCGCGGGAGCTGCATCCTCTTAAAAGCTTGGCTGCATGCAACACCCGCCCGTCGGGAAAACGCTTGCATCTCCAGGTGGCCGTCGGTTTTCCTCTCGTTCTTTTGCGCGGCCTGACTCGTTCTTTCATTGGATCGGTCGTTTTAGAGTTCTCAAGATGCGTTTTACGAATACCATCTTGGCGTCGCTTGGCTTTGCCATTACCACCCCGGTCTTGGCCTGCGATAGCTGCGAACACCCCGAGAGGGATGTGGTGTTGACGAGACACGTTCGCAGGGCGCAACCTGATGCCCAGGCTGCTGCAGTCGCCCCTCGCGGCCCTCTGTCGTGGGGTCAATTGAACTTTCTCCATACGACTGGTACGTCGCATTCAATGACACGAGATTGGGAACATACAGGCTGACAATGATGGTCCAGATACTCACGGCTGGTTTGTCCTTCACCGGAAATTCTAATAATCGCATACTGACTCAACCATGCAGGCTGGAAGGCCACATCCGTGAGCAGAACTATGGAGCCGACTGGGGTGACTTCGTGAGCTTCGTCAAGCACATGCGCCAGAAGGCCGAAGACCTCGACGTTGATTTGTTGGTCGTTGACACTGGAGTATGTTGAGGCGATCTCATCCTCGGCGAAATAATATTGACAATATTAGGATTTGCACGATGGTGCAGGCCTCAGCGACGCCACTGGTGTTTCCACCTACGCGAACGGCACCGGTGTCAATGGCCAGATTTCGAACCCCATTTTCGAAAACATTGACTACGATGTGCTGGCTATCGGAAACCACGAGCTGTACATTTCCAGCATCGCATACGAGACCTTCAGTCAGTTCGCCAAGGTCTACGGTGACAGATACGTCACTAGCAATGTCCAAATCCGCAACCCCAGCACGGGCGCGCTTGAGTACATTGGCAAGCAGTATCGTTACTTCACTACGCCGAAGGGTAAGCTGTTCTTACAAGATGCAATCGCTGTTTCATAGGAGTCTAATGATCTTCCCAGGCCTGAGAATCATGGCGTTTGGTGTTCTGTTCGACTTCACTGGCAACTCAAATGCTTCAGTCGTCACTAAGGCCGCAACCATGGTCAAGCAGCCCTGGTTCCTGAGCGCTGTCGATTACAGCGAGCCTGTTGATCTTTACCTGGTCATCGGCCACAACCCTGTCCGCCCAACGCAGAGCAGCAGTACGCTCAAGACTGTTTTTGACGCGATCCGAGCCATCAAGCCCGACACGCCTGTTCAGTTCTTCGGTGGCCACACCCACATTCGTGACTTCGCTGTCTATGATGACAAGTCGACTGCTCTCGAGTCCGGAAGGTACTGCGAGACTTTGGGCTTCCTTTCCATGTCCGGCATCAAGTCCGACAACTACAAGGGCGCCATGTACCCCAAGGGCGTCCCTCATCCTGCCCAGAAGGCGGTTGCTGTGGCCACAACGACGTCCTCCAGCAGCCCTGCCTCCGCGACTGGCAACTCCACCATGACCTACTTCCGTCGATACCTGGACTGGTAAGATCAAAGTGAGACTGACATTTTGCAGAACACTAACAGCTTTTCCAGGAACACTCTGACATTCGAGTATCACGCCGTTGGTAGCCAGGCCAAGGCCTTCAACACGTCCAAGGGCGTCAGTGTAACTCAAGAGATCACATCTGAGCGCAAGAATCTCAACCTGACGACTCTTTACGGCTGCGCTCCCCAGACTTGGTGCATCGATTGTGCGCCCTTCATGTCCGAAGGATCCATGTTCAATTTGACGACCACTGCTCTTGCAGCCACCATCATCACCGAGGAGAGG